ATATTCTTCTTTCCTCTCTTCCTTCAGGTGTCTTCTCCGCTCTCTATGTCGATGATCTTACCCTTTGCTGTCAGGGTGGTGATTTGCGTCTCCTTCAACGCATGCTTCAACTTGCGATTGATGCCGTGTTTTCTTGGACCAACGATCATGGCTTCAAGTTCTCTACTACTAAGACTTGTGCCATGACTTTTACTCGGAAACGGGTCGTTCTTTGTCCCTCTGTCAATTTATGGTCATCTCCTTGAGTACAAAGATTCAGCGAAGCTTTTGGGGTTATTCTTTGACACTCGGTTTCTCTTGGTCTCCCCATATTTCTTACCTCCGTGTTGAGTGCTGTAAGGCCCTTACCCTCCTTTGGGTATTGTCCCATTCTTCTTGGGGAGCGGATAGGCACACTTTCCTCGCTTTACATTCCTCTCTCGTCCTGTCTAAGCTCGAATATTGTTGCCCTGCTTACTCGTTTGCTTTTCCTTCTACTCTTCGCCGTCATGATACTTTGCACCATACTGGGTTGCGCCTCAGTTCTGGTGCCTTTCGTTCGACTCCCGTCCTCAGCTTGTATGTTGACACTGGCTTCTTATCTCTTCAGGACCACCGTGATCGCTACTGACTTCGCTATCTTGTGCGGTCCTTGCAACATCCTTCCTCTCGCCTCTGTCGTGCTTTAACATTTACCCCTTCTGCAGTTCCTGTTCCTCTTCACCACCTCCCTCTTTCTGTCCAGTTATCTCCCTTACAGGATTCTCTTTCCGTTAGTATTTCTAATATTTCTCCTTGTGTTGTTTCTTCATTGCCCCCGTGGAGAGTCCCCCTTCTGCAGTTTTGTACATCCTTGACCCTCATCATTAATTAAAGCTTTTACCCCTCCTACGGTTCTGAAACGCTTTTTCCTTGAGTACTTTTCTTCTCACTCCCGCTCCGTTTTCGTCTTCACCGATGGGTCTAAGTCTGCGGACGGTGTTGGCTACTCTGTTGTTTTTCCTGATTGCACTTATGTGTCGCTTACCTCCGGAGATTAGCATCTTCACAGCTTGGTCTTGTGCTCGCTTTATGCTATTCTCTCTGCTCTTCGTCTCCTGCTTTCTCGTTGTCAATCTTCCTTCGTAGTTGTTGTTGACTCTCGTAGTGCCCTCATGGCTCTCGGGTCCTTTAATCCAGTTCATCCAGTGGTTGTAGAGATCCAGCATTGACTGTTTCTTGTTCACAGTAAATTTCAGTCGGTTGAGTTTGCATATGCTGCCGCCAGGGAAGCTGTCCGCTCTTGTCCTCTCTCTCGTAAAGGTATTCCCTATTCCGATTTTTACCCGGTTATCCATTCCTCCATCCTTACCCACGCAGGCTTGTTGGTCGTCTGTTACTGGTAACAAACTACGTACTGTTAAAAGTTGTGTGTCCTCGTGGCCGTCCTCCTACCACCGTAACCGGCGATTGGAAACGGCTCTGGCGAGGTTGCGTATTGGCCATACTAGCTTAACTCGTGGTCACTTGGAGTGCCACCCTGTTCATTTGTGTCCTAATTGCATTGTCCCTCTTACGATCGTGCATATCCTTGTTGAATGTCTTGACTTCCAGGATGAGCATACGTGTCTTATTTTCCGACCGTTCCCCGCGGTCGCTTGTTTCTCGATCATGTTCTTGGTGACTCGGATACTTTTCATATCATTCGCCTTATGTTTTTCTGTTCTCGTATTGGCATCCTTGGTGATATTTAGCGCCCTCTGATTATCCCGCACATTTGATGGTGCTACATAGCCTTCCCGGTTTGGAGCCTTCCTTTGATAATTACTTGCTTGCTTGTTATTTACCCTAAACATTGCAATATATTTCCACTAAGATCAGGTTTCTCTGAACTTGAGTAGGATCATATAGTTTATAAAGAACCCGGCTACGAAGGTTTCGTAACAGTGGCAGTTTGCCAAGGCTGACTGGAACCTCTTTACCCTACTCGCTACTCTTTCCGACCTCTGTGTGGCCTGTACCCCGAGCCACAGTTTTCCTGATAGTTTATTACGCTGCCCTGTGCTTTGTTCCTCGCTCTCTTGGGAAGTGCAGAAGTGCGTTCCCTGGTGGAATGCAGACTGTTCTCGAGCTGTCCGCTGTAGCTGTAAGAGTGCAGCCTGGAACAAACATCTTTGCCGACGGACGCCCATTTCATTTATTTTGTTTCGGAAAGTGAATGAGAGTTCATAGGGCCTTCCGTATGGCTAAGCGTGAGGGTTGGAGATCCTTCATTTCTACCATTACGTCTGACCCTGATCAGGAAGAAAATCCGCAAGGTACCAGGAAAGTTTGTTCCAGACGTCTCGCCAGTCCTTCTCAGTGGTTCTATTGTGGCGGAGCTGGTGTCGGTCACGACCGAACATGATTCACACTTTTCGACTGTTGGGTCCTGTTCTCATCTTCATCCGCCTTTTCTTACTCGTAAGCCCCTACTTAAATCTTGTCCCTTTGATTTTTGCACTCATCTTCAGCTTCCCTCTAACGATCCTTTCTCTCCATCAGAACTCCAGTCTGCCCTGGCCCTCTGCAGTTTTGTGGCGTCGGGCTCAGATGATACTCATTGTGAGATGCTTTGCTATCTCCCTCCATGCACGTTTCAGCATTTATTGAATGGTTTATAACTGTCTTGGTGTCGTCGTCATCAGTCCCTGATG